CCCCGCCGGGCCGGGGCTCCGCCGTGTGAGCCCGGAGCTGCGTCCGGCGACTGCAGGTTGAGCGCGTGCGGCAGAAGGAGCGGCCGCAGCGAGCAGGTCCCGAGCAGCATGGCCCGGAGCAGCGCCTTCCCCGCGGCGGCCGCGCTGCGCCTCTGGAGCATCCTCCCGTGCCTGCTGGCCCTGCGCGCCGAGGCCGGCCAGCCGCCCCAGGAGAGCCTGTACCTGTGGATCGACGCCCACCAGGCGCGGGCGCTCATAGGTAAGAGCCCGCCCCGGGGGGCCTTCTCGCTCCCTCTCCGCGCGTCCGATCCACAAGGGATGCAGGCGATCTTTTCCAAACTTAATTTCAAAGAAGATGGGGTTCTCCCCCTTTTCACACAAGTATCCCTTCATCTGAAAGCTTATAAACTCCCCTGTCAAGAAATCACTTAAACTAGCGCTCGGATCACGCAACCTGCGTTTTTAGGGGGTGCCAGCGTGTATTTGCAGCAGCCAACTCCGTGTGTCTGCAGGCATCGTTCTGAGCACATGCAGACGAGGACGGACCTCCGTAGCGTGGTGGGTGCCAAAGGCAGGTGTGTTGTGCAAAGAAACGGTCCGTGGTGATACTTTGCTGTTCATTTTTGCATCTTCTGATTGGAAGCATCTTAAATCCATCCAGTGTCCCCGTTCTGTTTGTTTCTTAATAACAGGATTTGAAGAGGATATTCTGATTGTTTCAGAGGGGAAAATGGCCCCCTTTACGCATGATTTCAGAAAAGCACAGCAGAGAATGCCGGCTATTCCTGTCAATATCCATTCCATGAACTTCACCTGGCAAGCTGCGGGGCAGGTGAGTGCTGGTAGCCAAAACAAGTGGGGAGAAAATTCCCTCCTGGGACTTACACTGCTTAATGAAAGGTAGAAATAATATTGCATAGTGCTTCGTTTGGTATCTTTTTCAATTCTTAAAAGCAATTTTTTTTCCTCCAAAACGATCTCCAAAGCAAAGAATGAACTAATTCCCACTTTGTCAAGTTGCCACACAAGTTAAAGATCTCAAAAGACCATGAAAAGGGCAAATGATGGGTCTAAACTCACTATTTTGATAAGACTTGGTGTCTTCTGGCTGCTGGAGTGATTAAGAGATCAAAGACCAACACTTCTGGTTACTGTGATCCCTGACGTGAAAAGTTAACACAATATTTTAAAGGTACCCCCCCTATAGTATATACTATTCAATTGTGGCATTGTTTATACTTACACAATTTATACTTAGACATTATGTACACAAATTTTAAAATGTATGTGTTTTTGACATTGTACCTAAAATAATAATAGATGTGTTGAATGTTATTCACTAGAACATGAACATATTCCTTGGAGAAGTTTACAGACTCAACGAGTGTCATGTAAGAAAGTTTGTAAAACATTTCAGGCTATGCAAAACTTTAAAGTTACCAGTTTAAATCTTCTTCATAGGGAAAAGGAAGACTATAATTCATCTTTATGAAGAAACACTCCTTTTCCCCCCTCAGCACATTAACATCTTTGGATGCTATGTTTTCTCTATTTTCAGAATAGCATCACCTCTAATTTTAGAAAGAGAAGGATAAAATGCTTGTGTGAGTTTAATTGCTTTTGTGCAATTGGAAAACTTACCTTAGAGGACAACTGGTAAATAATGAATTATTTTGCTGCTCATTAGTTGTGAAAATGTGTCCACTGTGAAAATCATTATAATGAAAATCACATTTTCAGGCCTTTTTAACTAAAAAATTACTTAAAATGGTTACAATAAAAAAGAATGGGCTCCAGAAAACACTTTATAAAAAGTAACTATTTTGAATTGGGAAACCACTTTGGTACCCTCTAATTACCTGTTATAGAATGAGCCTGCCTATTTTAGCTCTGTCTTATTTTCCTCAGGTCTATACCTTTTTTTTGTCTTATTCTCTTTAAAGTAGATCAAATATAGAACCTTCACATTTCCATTGTTTTGTCAAAATATAATTATTTTCAGTTTATTGACTTCATGACAAGACAGTAAGCTACTCGAATGCTCCCATTTTACAGCAAGTTCACTGAGACTTTGGTATAATTCAATACAAAGCAACAGGGAAGAAGAAATATACTTGCCAAGAAAGTATTAGCATTGTCAGCATTGTTTGCTTCTCCTAGCACGGGGCCATGGGGGCATAGTGGTTACACATTGGGCTGATAGCAGCAAGGTTAGCAGTTTCTAATCTTTCTCCTTAATCCCCTCCTTATAACTGCTCTATAGAAAATTAACTTCAGATTATTATAAAGTCAGTAATAAATTAATGAGTAACCTTTTATTATCCCTATTTCTTCTCACCTGAATTTATTTACTTACACATGCTCACATGCTAGAATGGTCTCTACTAATTCTGTATTTAAAAGAAATATTTATACCTTTTTGGATCTATAAGAACCATATTAGTTTGAATTATAATCCTCCCTCCACCCTTGCTTGAGAACTTTTGTTAGACAAATAATGGGAAATGTGGAACACCACTACTGATTTCCACATGAACCACTTTAGTCTAAGGCCCAAACTATTGTATTGATGTAGGTTTGGCACTAAGTAGAATTGATCTTAAAATCAAACTCACTGCCATGAGGTCAACTGGGATGCATAGTAACCTTATAGGGCAGGGTAGAACTGCCCCTGGGGGCTTCCAAGATTGTAACTCTTATAGGAGTAGAAAGCCTCATCTTTCTCCTGTGGAGTAGCTGGTGGTTTTGAACTGCTAACCTTGCTGCTATTAGCCCAACGTGTAACCACTATGCCATCAAGGCTCAGTGGTAGGAGAAGCCGACAATGCTAACAGCTCTAATAGTTTTTTGGGGCAAGAGTGTTTCTTCTTCCCTGTTGCTTTGTAAATTGGTGCATGCTTCCAAACAATAGTATACAGGGGGCAAAAAGTTGGTGGGAAAAATCCCATTCTCTTTTAATGCCATTTTCCCATGAGCTTAATGGACTGACATATCAAACAATCTCAGCACAATTTCGGGTAGGGCATTAGGGAAGATTATAGAAATGGTATCAAGGTGGACCCTCTAGCATCTTTTTCTCTCCTGCTTAGGTACTGGCTTATCATATTACGCAGTATTAGCCCCTCAGATACATGACTTCTCATTCTCTGCTCTGTCTGCAGTTTCCGCAGGTGGCTACATGAAATCTGGAGTCTGTGTTTTTGGGGGGAGGGAGCAAGAAGGGGCTACCTAATACCAAACAGCAAGATGTTTTAACTCAAAATAAACTCACTGACATGGGTTGATTCTGACAGATACTGTTTAAATGTGACGGACTCTACTCAATGGAGTTATGTGATTCTAACGCCATCATAATTAAAAAAAATCATTTTATTGGAGGCTCGTACAACTCTTTTCACACTCCATCCATCCACCCATTGTGTCAAGCACATATGTACCTTTATTGCCATCATCATTCCGTAATTTTTTTAACGCACGGAAATTTTGAATTTGGGAAGAATAATAACTTCAGTTCACCCATTAAGTTGTTTGGAAGCTAAACCACATCAAAACATTTACATGGGAAATAAAAACTTCCTTCCACAATATAATTATTTAACCCAAATAATATCAAACATGTAGGCATTTTAATTATATATAAGCAAAACACATAGTTGATTGATGCAATTTTAAACTTTAAGTTTTTGGCAATAGGTGAGACTTCAGGGTGGACGGGCCAGTGGAGACAATGCAATCACCACTTGAATTCCAGTAAATCATTAGTCCAGTCCCCCGAAGTATGCTTGAGCACATTTAAAATACATTTCATGTTCCACATGAAACAAGGGCAAGGGAAAGTTAAGAGTGGTACTCAAAATTTTTAAAAGTGATTTTAGAATATCGGAAAATATGCATGTTCATCTATTGCTGGCATTTGTATTCATTGTTTTTGTGGAGCAATTTGATTATGATGGCAGACAATTTGGTATAGATCCTTTGCGACATTTTTATACTAGAGATTCACCCTAAAGAAACAATCATGGCCATATATAAACATGTATGCCAGAGCATGTTCCTCATCATGGTGTTTATGAAAGTAACAATGGATACCATAGCTAGAGGTTAAGTGAACACTCACTCACACAGGAAAGGACAATCAAGCATTGACAAGAATGCTTGGAAATTCCCTGTGCTAGCGGTTGCACATTTCTGCTTGATTTGGTTGAACTACGGAATGATAGGACATATGTATTAACTACCAATTAATAGATTAGAGGACAAACGTCACAGATCAAAGGGTTAAGAAAAAAGAGGTTCACTAACAAAGTAGGTAGGATATTCTGTAACGTTGTATACAAAATAGACAGACAGAAGAAACATCCTAGCTGTCAAAGTGTTTACATAGGTTAGATCAGCGTATATTACTTTCTGATTTGCAGTTTTTAAATTGCAAACTCTTAGTCATTCAACAAATTCCATTAAATGTGCATGAAAAGTTGTACTTTAGAGGTTAAACATGCATAACAATCTGAATCTATATTAACCATTTATACATGACATCACTCAACAAAATAGCAAAATAATGGATCATAACTATGAGGACCAAAGAATTCTTTAATAGGTGTCTGATTCTCTGATTTTCATTTACCAGTTTCTTTTGAGGTTCTTATACACCCACTATGAAAGGCTTTCCTGCCTGAACCACATTGCCTGGCCCACATCTCGCTCTCCCTGTGATTCTCATTTTCTTTGGAGAACCGTACCTCCTCTGTATCTGCTATTTAAAATACAAATTTTCTGATACGGCTCTTTCTGAGGCTCTCAGATGAGAGAGAGGTTTCCACTAAAAGGATTAAAGAGCTTTTAGGAATCAAGGGAAAATACTCTTGATTATTTGAATAACCTTTTAAGAGTTGATATTCTTCAAGGAGGCATTCCTTATTCTAATTTTTCCCTAAATTGGAGATATTGTTCTTAGGCAGAGACCATGAGCAAACATTTTGGCTTTCTAAACCTGGCTCTAATTAAACGTTTTATATGGAAAACTGACCCTTTCTAAACACAATGACTCTCATGTAAAATTTTAATGAGAAGTTTTGTTAGACAAATCTGAATTCTAAGAAGGAGACACTACTGGTGATTTCCATAGGAACCACTTTGATCTAAGGCCCAAAGTATTGTGTTTACATATGTTTGCCACTTTGTAGACTTGACCTTAACAACTATGGTATGTTCTATAACCTGCCTAAAGATGCTGAGGTTCTATGATTCTAATACCAAGTTAATGGGCATCTCTTTTTATGTTGGCCTCTTTAGCAGTGGTGAAGGATTTTTGCTGAGCCAGATATGTCAGTGTTCCAGCCCCCTGGGACTCAAGGCGTTCATTACTGAGGTGGGAGGCAAGGCTTAGGATGAAACTTGTGTCTTTGGAATAGAAATTCTGAGTGAAGATCATCAGCCAATACTAGCTTCAAACCCACCACCTGGGTCACTGAGCACATTCTACCCACCTGTACCAACAAGTCCAGATTGTAGAGGAAATCCTTTCTGATGTAGGATGTGCAGAATAATTATAACCACTAGAAGTCAGTGTGTAGCTTTATTTTCTCAATTTCAAGATGCCTAAAGAAAGAAACAAGCAAACAAAAAATGCCCCCAAACCTAACCTAGAACTGTTGCTGTGGATACAGGGGAGAAAAATGACAATTCTGTCTATTGCCCTAAGGTCTGGAAGATCATGTATCTCTTGTGGGAACAAGTGGACTTTATTGGGTTAAATTATAGAACCTGCCCCTTGGGTTTTATGTACGATGACTGAAATAAGAATAATGTTAAGGATGCTGAAGATAACGG